ACCTTTTCCGGTCAGGTCATGACCTTGACCTGAGGTCAAATTTTTAAGTTGACCTTTCAAGGTCAAATCATAGTTCGTTCGACGCGTCTCGACGAGAGAAACACGATGCTGGCAAAAGTAATGTCATGGCTCTTTTGAGTCAAAAGTTATTGCCGAAAAAAACACTTTTAGTAAAAACGGCTATTTTTGGAGTTTTTGACCTCTTGAGGCTAAACCGTTGACCTGAGGTCAAACCTGAGAACATAACTCAGAAAGGTCTGTAAGAGGGCTATTGAATGCGCTTTTCTGCGGCGCTTTAGCTCTATCCGTTACCGAGATAGCCGTTGGCAGCAGAGTTGGCCTGCGCTACGCTACGTTACGCACTACGTTACGCTACGTTTGCTTTTTTGGCCAAAACTACGATACCGAATTACAATACGTTATATATTGCTACGTTACTGAATTACGGTATTTGTTAACCCGCGCCCGGCTGGGGGTCCTGGATTTCCACGCCCTGCTGGGGGGGTGTTTGAACACCCCCCCCCTTTTAACTCGGCTCCTGGGCCACGTAGCGATACGCGGAAGGCGGCGTTCGAAAGAGCGTCAAAAATAATGACGAAATCACTTCGGTCAATTTTTTGGTCAGGTCAAAGGTCAGGTCACCAGAGGTCATTGAAGGCAAAATTTCGCCGATTTCCAGGTCGAATGTCGAAAATTTCCAAGAAACCAACGCATAACTCGGGAACCAATAGAGCTACAGCGCCGCGGAAAAGCGCATTCGATAGCCCTATTAACGCCCTTTCTGAGTAATTCTCTCAGATTTGGCCTAACGTCAACGGTTTTGCCTGCAGGGGGCAAAAACTGCAAAAATAGCCGATTTTTTCGGAAACAGTTTTTCTGCAATAACTTGTGACCCAAGCATTGTACGAGCTTACTTTTACCGGCATCGTGTTCCTCTCGTCAAGACGCATCGAATGAACTATAACTTGACCTTGAAAGGTCAACTTGAAAATTTGACCTCAGGTCAATGTCATGACCTGACCGGAAAGGGTCATGTTGCATATCAGTCGATCCGTATCGTCGAGCTGAACACATCTAAGGTGTTTTCATCGCTCTAGCATGCCTCTATCAAAAGTTATTTGCGAAAAACTGTTAGATACCATTCGTGACCTAAGATGACCTCAGGGCATAAACAGGGGTCACGGACACCATTTCCATGTTCAGTGTGTCTAAACCACTTGTAATTCAGTGTTTGGGAGTGTTTATAATGTCTTTCGTCTAAAAGAGACGCATTTCAATTTTCTCCCATTGACTTATAATGGGGAGGTCGCAAAATTGACCTGACCTTAGGTCATCGATATCAAAATTCTGAGATATACATTTTGTACATGCTATTACTCTTAGCAATCGCTGAAAGTTTCAAAGCGATCAGTCACTCGGTGTAGCTATGACAGACATTGAAACTTTTTATGAGGTGAGGTCACTTCAAGTGACCTGGTGACCTGACCTTGAATGACCTTGGTCTGAAATTTTCACAACATGTGTAGAATTGATGCATGATAAGGTGTACCAAAAACGGCGGCGCTCCGCGCCGCCGTTTTTGAGATATTCGCGAAAAACCACAAGGGGGGTGTTCAAACCCCCCCCCCCAGCAGGGCGCGGGTTAATTAACGCAGTAAATTATTTTATCGTACTACGTTATGCAATATGTCATCATCCGCTACCCAGTGGAAACGGTTAGTCTCTACTCTCTAGTAAGCCAAATACAGCGCACAATGATCGCCGGCTTTGCAGCATCGTCGGTGCGGCGGTGCCTACGCGCTACTCGCTAGATGCGCTGGACTTCCGACAGGGAATTCCCTGGACTCCCCAGTGGGAAATCCCCGGTGTCGGTCCGGCCGGAAGAAAGACTCAGTGGTATTCATATATCGGGGTTACATGAGCACAGTAAATACGTATTTAGCCGCTAATTCGAATTAGGAACGCATTACCGACTCATGTAGCCACCTGCTAGTACGAATCGGCGATCCGATCCGCGGTTACATGAGCAAAGCAAATACGTACCACGATCGGATTCACCGCTAATGCGAATCAGGAGCGTACTACCGACTCATGTATCCACCTGCTAATACGAATCGACGGTCCGAACAAAATCCGCAGGGAAAGAGGCTTAGAAGCGAATAGGACCAAGATACGTATTACAGGAACTATTTCTTTCCAAAAAGAAACATTAAAATGCAAAATAATAGGTATTTTTTTCATTTGCTGCTTTTGAAATAATAATTAAAAAAATATGTCGGTATTTTGTCAAGTTTTCAAAAATAAATATAGTGAAAACCAAAAAGAAAATATCAAAGTACTTTCAGTTGAAACATTTTTCTGACAGCACTACAGACGAATCAAGAGAGGCAAGTGCTCAATGAGTCAAAGCAAGACAACTTTATGTTTAACTTTTTTTGTTAAGCTAATTGAGAATGTTTTGAGCAGATTAAATGCAAAAAAGACATAAGATATTAAAGGGAGATTATGACCTTTTTCCACAAAATCTGAGTTAGGACCATTTTCTGACAAAACACAACAAGTTATAATGTAAATTAAAACCATTTTGCTCAATTCGGTACCTTGCCGCAAATATCTCAACTTGAAGTCACGTTAGCGGGGAGCGCTGAAAATGACCGTTGAATAAGTACTTACATCACTTTTTGGTACTTGCATGTAATTTTGTAAAATGAGCGTATTCATTACATTTGATCTTCATCACATCTAGTTAGTTAATGGTCGTCTATAGTGCCTTCAAAAGATATTCATGGTTTGGGGGTGGTTTATGTCTAAATTTACGCAACTATTTTTCCTGTTCATCATCTGTCGCCATATGCTGCTATTTTAGTAGCAACGACTCAATTTTGAATCGGTCCCGCCGACTGCACAATAAAAGAAGATAGATACAACACTTTTGCGGCATTACTGAAAAACTTATGCAGTACTGTTATCAAAATTCTCATAACACCGTTCGACAAACCTGAAGTCTTTTTGAAATAAGTATGCTTGTATTTTTCGCTTCAGGCTCTGAGGCCAAAATAATGAATTTCGTAGTCGCAATCGCAAGATTTGACTGCGTTTCTGGCGCATGCCGTTCATTTGTGGCGCAAAATAATACTTGATAACAAAGAAGAGTAGGCACTATGTACCCCCGAATTAGAATCTAATTAATTCTAAACCGAATTAACTCTAATTCAAATTAGAATCCTTACAACCAAGCAACGACAAGGCGATAACATAAACAAAAACCCAAGCGTCGCTGTTTGAAACAAAAGCGCCATATACTGCGACTTTTTTATAGAGAAGGACAACGCATTTCGATGGGTGTTACAAGTACTGCAAGTACTGCTTCTTTTTGCAAAAATAAAAACCTTTTTCACATACGAAAATGTGCTAGGAAATTTTCATATTTTATAGAAACTACAGTAGAAATAGTATAGATGTCGAGTAATTTTTATTTAAGAAAAAAGAAAGCTCATTATCTCCCTTTAAGTTGTTAATTCAGTTACCTCTATTGCTACGGAAGTGCGCCACATTTGTATGCTATTCCGTTTGTAGTGCGCATTACCTTCCGTCAGGCCGAGAGCCAAACTGGATCCGTTTGAGGTCACTGATACGAATTTGCTCATGTAGTCGGTGCACTGAATGCGTTCTTGGGGAGCTGATGCGAATTAGCGTAGTGCGTATTTGGAACGGATCGCTCATGTAACGGAGGCACACGATTCGGGCCGTATTTCACAAGAACTATTCTTTGCTGACTAGAAGCGTCAAAATGCAAAATACTAAGCATTTTTTATTGGCTGCCTCGTAGAAAATAGCAAAAAAATGTTGGTATTTTGGTTTAGTCTTTGCATGTGAAATAAAATGAATGAAATATTTTGATAGATAATTTTTTTTCTGACCACCCTGCTGTCGCTGCATGGCGAATCAGTGCCCACTGACTTAAAACAAGAAAACTTTGCTTTCATTTTTTGATTTCATGTTAATTTTAATTGTTTTTGAGCCTATCAAATGATATAAGTATTTAAAATTTAGTTCAGTCGTCCCGGTAAATGCCGCAACTGCGCCATGACTGTACGCTAATCCTATTCCGTTTGTGATGCGAATTACCGGCCGTCGAGGAGTCAGCCCGGGTGAGCCAAACAAGATCCGTTTGACGTAGATAAAACGAATTAGTCTCATGTAACCGGTGCCGTAGATACGTTTGTGGGGAGCTGATGCGCATTAGCGTAGTGCGTATTTGGAACGGATCGCTCATGTAACCCCGGTAATATAGCAGGCGTCTCACATCCGTGTAAACGGCCGGAGGTCTGGTGACGATATGAGTAAACTGAAAAAATTATGTAACTTGTACAAATACAGCTGACCTGTAATTGCTACGGAATCCATTTCGTAGTTCCTACGTTATTCTATTATTTTCCGTACTACGCTACCGAAACACCCCAATTACGCTACGAAACGGAACTGACAGCTACGGGTTACCGAAAACTTCAAAATAACGTAACGTAGGCCAACTCTGGTTGGCAGTTTCCAAAATGTTGAAATAGTCAACATTTTGCCTTTGGTGAACTCTGGTGACCTGACCTTTGACCTGACCCAAAAAATGACCGAAGTATTTTCGTCTTTATTTTGGACGTTCTTTCGATTGCCGCTTACCGCGTGTCGCTACGTGGCCTAGGAGCCGAGTTAGAAGAAACAGCACGAATGGCAGAGTGAAACAAACAACCTCTTTCACAAAAGCATGTAATCGGTGGTGCGCCAGATGCGCCGTTATTGTCAACCGCAGAAGGTGAAATGTGACGTAACAGCATCAATAAACTTTAAAAAACATGTTTTCTATCTGTCTTCCCCATTTCTCTCAGCATATTGATTTTATGAGGAAATTGTATGCACCATAAACTCTGCGAAAATAGTTTGATCATTTCTATACATTCTTTTAAAAAATCGAGTTCCCAACCCCATTATTGTATTTATTGACTGACCGAATGTGAAGCCGCGGTCTCTGAAGTGGCGGACGGCCTCGAGCAGTGGGCCACCGGTGGGCTGGTCCTTGCCGCTGCAGTGCAGACACTGGAGCGCGCAGTACACCGGGAAAAACAGACTGGTCCAGGCCGTGCAGAACCAGGTGGTGAAAAACGGCGCATCGTAGCTGCCTCCCTTTGAATCATAGGCACAGACATGGGTATTTGTTGAGGCGATCACCAGCGCTTGTGGCTATTGCCACGTCTCGTGATAGATATTAGATAGTTACAGTTTGGGCTAGCACATTCAGAACTGATAAAATATGACCCTTGCGTTAGCAGTGGCGCGATATAAAACTACATAAATGTCAGTTAGGCGGTTCAGATAGGTATCGTTTCAGGTGGCGAGGGCACACGGTTACAGGATGCTTAACCTTCGCCCCAGTGCACAGTGGGGATTTTTCCGATCTAGCGCCTATTAATTCAAAAAATCTTTTTTGGATTTTTGTTTATTTTTTGTGTCAGTGGGGCTAAGAAATGTCTGAATTTTTCATATATGGCATTGTTTTATCTGTATGTCTACAGCAAAACTAGGGAAAATGCGCCCAAAGTTCACACTCATGCGTGATTACTCAATGGGCTCAGCAAGGCCCGAAAGTATAGCTCAATTTCATTGTCCTGTCCTGTTGGTTTTAATCTTGCGAGGTCTTAAAGTTGCATATCGTCTGAAAGGCACCTTTATTAGGAATGGAATGGCAAACAGAAAGTATGCCACAACCTTACTAAGGTCACAAAAATGCCCTTTACAAAAAACCCTTACAGACACCATATTGAAGGAATGGTATTCTAAATAAATGTAGGAAATCAACAACGTTCTCCACACTTTTCCACTCCGAAATATATCCTATCGAATTTACTTTCTCCTGCACAAGACAACGCCTAGTTTGGCTGCCGAAACTTGCCTGAACACGGAATATTCACATTATAGTATCTTAACACCCCACTCGAGGAGCGCTAGGGCAAACACATGGGCGTAGGAACGTCATGAAAAGTGGGTGGGCCACCCTGTCAAGGGGCCTCCTTTTCCAGGGGGCCTCCTATTTTCAGGGGCCTCCAACTTTTGCCTCGTCCTGCTGGCTGCTTTCAAGTATGACCTCCAAATCTTCTGAGATCGGGCAGATATACCCAGGGGCGTAACCGCTTAAGCGAACAGTGCAGAAAGTCCGCACCATTTTTAAAACTTATTTCCCTCCGATTTTTTTTTTAGAATGTATTTGCCGCAAACGGCGCATGACCCCTGAAAACCCTTACACAAATGTCTTCCTCGTTTCCCAGGTGCTCCCATTAGCTTCATAGGCGCCCTCTTTGGCATATAAGCGCCCTATGTATAGTCATCAGAGACATCCCTATATGTCCCACAGTCGCCCCGTTGTCGCATACAATGTGCGCTTATCATAGGCGTCTCTCTTTTATGGACACTTGAAGGCACCTCTCTTTGCCATGCCGGCGCCCCTGTTTCTTATGAATGCACCCCCATGGCATTGATCAATTGCAATTTGCAGACCTCTATTGCATGTGGACGCCCATATATGTAGGCCTCAGAGGCGCCCCTCTTTCGCATTGAGGCGTCCCTATGGGCTTCATAGGCGCCCCTCTATTGCACGTAGGTGCCCTACTGTCTCAGAACCGCTCCCCTTTGGCATGGAGACGCCCATCTTTCGTACGGAGGAGCCGCTGTGGTTCTTAGAGACGGCATGGTGCTCCCAGACGCAGATGGGGCTCTCGGAGTAGACAGTGTGGGACCTTCAGTCGCTGATGGGTGCCCGCCAGATGTGGACCCTCGGAGACGCTGGTATGGGGCCCTCAGAGATGCCGGTATGTGGCCCTTAGAGACACCGGCGTGGAACCCTCAGATACTTCAGTGTGAAGCCCTTACAATTGCTGGTGTGGAGCTATGAATGCGCTGGCTTAAATCCCTCAGAGGCCGGTACATGGACATAAGAGCTCAGTGAGAGCTTGTGTGGTGCCTTCAGTGGCCTTGTGGAGCCGTTAGACATCAACCAGGGGTAGCCAGTAACAGTTGGTAGCATTAGGCCAAATGGGCGCTCAAAAACTACTACCCCATAGGGTTTCCATGTTAAATCGACCTTTTTCAAGCGAGCCTCACACGTAAGCTAAAAGATAAAGTGCCAATATTATTGTGGGGAAAGGTAGCCTCAAGGTTCCTCTACAACCTTTTTATCTAGCGTTTTTCGATGCGGAGGCCATAACGGGTCCAAAAAGTATTGGGCGCTGCCCGAGGTACCAAAAGCCCCTCCATGAGAGCACAAGTTCCTGCGCATGCGCACATCGCCTTAACCCTGTACTGGCGTAGATTAGTGATACTGCTCACGGACTCGATCAGCCAATGAGCGTCCCCGATTATATTCATAGATGTCGCTAGCATCACGTAAATCCTGCTTGCGAACACATTTAAAGAATGAAACGGCTGCGCCATTTCCGCCTTCCATTGAATCCTTCCATCTTAGTATCAACTATACGCTTTTCAACTAACTTTAGACTAAGTTTTAAACTATGGTTGGTATGTTATTTCTGGTACATATAATTTAAAAATAACCGCTTTATGAATTTGGCTTTACTCGTCAGAATAGAATACTCTATTTTTTCCATATTCAAAAAATATATCAACCACCATGTAACTCATCCAGGTAAAATGGGCGCTTTCCGCGTCGTTGGTGTACCCGTTGTTCTATATACCCTGGACATCAACATGGTGCTCTCAGGAGCCGGTGAGTCCTCAGAGTCACCGGTGTGGGGCCTTCCGAGCTCCGAGATACTGGTCTGGGGCCCTCAGAGGTGTCGGTGTGGGTCCTTCAGATGTACCTATAGAGCCTTGAGATGCACAGGTGTGGTGGCCCACAGAGGCGCCGGTGTGGGGCCCCCAGAGCCACCGATATAGGGCTCTAAGAGACACTAGTATGACCCTCAAAGGCGCCGCTGTGTGGCGCTCATAAACACTGGTGTTGAGCCATCACAGGCGGGTGGAGCCGTTAGAGGCCGGAAAGGGCCCTTAGATGCCTACAAGGAGCCTTCAGAAGCCGGCGTGGCACGTGGGGATAAGCGTGTCTACTTAGGAGCCCTTGAGGTGCTCTCATGAGCTCTGTGGGGCCCTACCGAGCCGAAATATGGCCACGGCCAGTTGCCGCCGCATGGCTCTTCGGACTATCATTCTCAGGGGCCTCATCTGCCTAGTTTGAATAGAAGGGCCTCTCAGACCATCCATCTCATGGGCCTCCTCTGGCTAGTATAAATAGAAGGGCCTCTCAGACCATCAATCCTAGGGGCCTCCTCTGGTTAGTATAAATAGAAGGGCCTCTCAGACCATCAGTCTCGGGGGTCTCCCTAGAAAAGTGTAAATGTGGATAGAGGGCCCCCTCAGATTCATTAGGAGTGGACCTCTCTGACTATCAGTCTCAGGGGCCTCTTGTGGCCAGTATGAATATAAGAGCCTCTCAGACCATCGGTCTCAGGGGCATCTTCTGACTAGTGTGGATAGAGGGTCCTCCCAGACCACCGGTTTCAGGGACCTCCAGTGGCCAGTTATATGAACAGAAGGGCCTCACAGCCATCAGCCTCGGGGGCCTCTTCTGACTAGTGTGAATATGAGGGCCTCTCATACCATCAGTCTCAGGGGCCTCCTCTGCCTAGTGTGAATATAAGGGCTTCCCAGGCCATCAGTCTCAGGGGACTCTTCTGACTGGTGCCGGATTGAGGGACCTCCCAGACCGAAAGTTTTGGGGGTCTCCTGTGGCCAGTATAAATAGAAGGGCCTCTCAGTCCATCAGTATCATGGGCCTCTTCTGCCTGGTGTGATTATAAGGGCCTCTCAGGTCATCAGTCTCAGGGGCCTCCTCTGACTACTGTGTAGATGGATAGGCGTCCCAGACCATCAGTCTCAGGGGCCTCTTATGACTATTGAGGATAGAGGGACCTCCTCTGACTAGTGAGGGTAGGGGGCCTCGGCTAGACCGCCAGTGTCAGGGGCCTAAATTTATTCTGACTAGTGTGGATGGAGGGGTCTCCCAGACCACCAGTCTCAGACCTCTGACTAGTGTGGATAGAGGGGCCTCCCAGACCGCCAGTGTCAGGGGCCTCCCCAGACCAGCGTGGATATTGGGGCCTCCTCAGATCCACTAAGGCCTCTCAGGCCATCAGTCTCAGGGGCTTCGACTGACCAGTATGACCAGAGGGCCTCCTTGGATCCATCACGGCCCCTTGGAGTCCGTGCGTGGAGATTCGTGGAACTTATTTTTACCGAGTTTGTTTATTCTGGAAGGTGACGACGTCCTCTAAAATCGAGAAGAGGGGCCTCGAGTAAAAAGTGGGTGGGCCAAAACACATGGTTGCCCCCCCCCCACCTCGAAAAGTGGGTGGGCAGTGCACTTGCCCACCTGGCCCCCCCTGTTCCTACGCCTATGGGCAAACAGCACGATATAGGTATGTTCCAGACATAGGCGAATAATTTTACTTCGTGATTTATATGATGCATATTTTCTGAGACACATTCATTAGGAATAGGATGACAAGCGTAAATTATACATACCGTAACCTTATTAACCATCGCACTTGTGGGGAGGGGGAGGGGGAAGGGGTCGGATAAAACCCCATGGTTTTCCGCAAATTAATCGCGCAAAAAGCGGCCGATCGCGCCGAAACTTTCGGTGCCCTCGAGATCATCAATATTACATCTAACCTAAAAATTTCATGACTCTGACCCAACTGACCTTTGACCTGTGGCATATTTCTCGAGACCATGTTTGGCCGGAATCGCGATTCGGCGTATGCCAGCTCACATTATCCGCGGTTTCCAGTCTTTTTGTGGTTTTAACGTTCAAATATGTGAAATGATGTTGGTGCCATGCATAATGGTGGGTGGCAAGGTCACGTGAAGGTCAAGTCAAAGTCAATGACCTTTTGATGACCTTGGTTCACTTTTTCGAGTTTTACTTGTTTCTAAGGTAGTTTTTGGTGCTGATTTCGAATTTAGCAGCCATTTGAATATTTACGAAGTAGTACTGGTGCCTTCGTTCCATGCTACGAAGCTATCAGTAGTAGGTGACACTTCTATGGATGGCCGGCAGGACGCCTACTAGTTGATCTAACCTGACCTGACCCGACCTGGCCTAAATGCATAAA